ACTGGGTCGGTCGTCCCGTCGAATTGTTTCACYGTGGGTAGCTTGAATTTTGGAGGGACCTTCTCTCTCATGATCTCCTCCGTGAATGGTGAGTCGGCTTGATCCAGTAGTTCTTCGAGGTCGAATCCCTTCTTTTTTATGGTTATGTCGCTTCTCCGAGGACTCTGGTCGATCTGCCGGTTTGCCTTTGTCGAGACTTGTCGGCTCAGAGTTTCTGTCATCATGGTCGCTCTTGCCCACATTTGGTGTCGGGGGTTTATGTTGCTTTTTCATCTTTTGRGAGTCRAAAATCYGGGTTCGTTGCCTGRTATTTCCACYTATCCGCAACTTACTTCCTGCACTGTTCGTTGACTCCTCAGTCTCGCTTTGCGCTGGGCCCTTCCCCTTTCTCGGGTTTCTGACAAGGGGCACTTCGTCGGACTCTTGTCGCTCGAATTGTCGAAGGACTTGGGTCATGAGTTGAAGCATGCCCTCTACCTTGTCTTCCAAGACCGYGAACTGCTTTTGGAGCGGCTCAGGGGTCGTTAGTGCATGCGCCTCGGGCAACCMTTCMTGACGTTCTAGGCTTGGCTGGCTGGTCCCATCCTCGGGTCCTCCAACTTGGGGGTCGTCCAAGTTCAGCCTCCTCTTGGCAGAGCAGTTATCATCAGAGCGTCGTGGACTTCTTTCTTGTGTCATGTTGCTCAACTGGATGCTTTAAATCGTCCCCACAGACGGCGCCAATTGTTGATGCGTGGATTTCGGTCCTCCGGTTCTCCTCCTCGCACCCACCAAACTTGTTGATCCGGGACTAGTACCTGTAAAACCAAATCGAGCTAAACCGGTGTGACTCTAGTCACACGGGCTCCGATGCTTAAGTTAGTAAGAGACCAAGGTAAATGTAGTCACTTCTTCGCCCCCTTTACCTCTAAGGCTGGATCACTACTTATAGCGTGGAGTTGTTCCAGAACTTTCCATAGCTAACCCTAATTCACCGTTGCAGGACCTGGGTGGAATCGTCGATCGAAGATGGGGGATCGTTGGCTGGGCCGTGGGTCGAGCCCCGAGTCGGGACCGAGCCCTCTCGGCCCGGTTAGTTCTCCGTCAGCCGCTTTCCTCGCTCTTTGCCCCGGCATTAGGTCGTTTTTGTTTTTCATAACAAATCTCATCCCACGAATCGACACAAATATGAATTACCTAATTAATTCATATTAAAATGCTAAATATATGAACATACAATTAAGTATTGGTTCATGTACATGTGAATCATGTAGCTGGGAAGGTACATGTTTAATTTTCAATAACAGAGATCATTCTCTTATACAAGGCTCTGAACTGAGTAAACAATAACTGGAATTTTGCTAACTAACCCAATATGGGTTTAACTAATACAACAGAAAATAACTTGAATCAATCATCATAAGTGAGATTTCTTACTACCTTCAAGCCAATGACTTGTGCATCAAATACTGTAAGCTTCCTAAGTAGTAAACAGTGTTTTAAAAACTCGAGGCGCACTATATATAAAAATAAATAAAATATATATACACACATGTAAATATTTGAAATTCAAATATTTTAAAGAGAAAAAGAGAGAGCAAATGTTGAGAAATCATAGAGAATGAAACTTGAGAGAAGAAGCTTATTTGGAGTTTGGAGTTTGGAGTTGGAGAAGCAAGATAGGGAATGGGATGGATTGCCGTGTGGATGTTGAGAAATTTCAATCTCTGTTCAAAATTCTAATTATTAGAATCAGAATTGTTCACACTCTCCTAAAAAGTGGACGACTTATCTTGATTTTGATAAGTAAGATTAGCAGAGGGAAGAGTGTCATCAGGATTATAACAAGTTGAGTTTCTACCGCTTGGAGTTTAAAAGATATAAACTTATGGTTGATAAGTGTTTTGGGTTATATTAAACTATAGATTCAATGAACTGATCATTTGGATTTTGTAAAGCACGCCTGTCACATTAAAATAATTTTTCGAATCACGAATGTTTAATCCAAGGTAATGCTACATTAAACTCACGTTGGTAAGATCAATTCTTAAAAAATTTAAAACCAAGCTACACAAATTCAAGGTCAGTTTTTAATATTTCCTTGCCATGAACATACAACTCATTTAATCATTATTATAGGGCTTCTAAGGCGGCAACAATGATTCTCGATCTTACAACAAAAGACAATGGAGCATCTCTCACCATTAAGGATCCATGAACTACTCTCAATGGTTGAATAATTTTCCTTTTATTAATTTATTTTTACAGGCTAGCTACTCAAATTGTCTGTCTTAGTATATGCATGATACTTAATCTTGACATGCACCATGTACTATGTTGAGCTATTTTTATTTTCACTTGGTTTTTGCTTTGTACATGTATGGAGTAATGCTTTTATTTTAGTGTGTATATGCAGTTTTTTTTTAACCATATTTGCTATGTTATGCCATTTAAATTCATCGTATACTTAATTTATTTATTCTTCAAATATATAGTGTTAGATGTAGATTTCCAGATTGTTGCCTTGTAGCTGCCATGGGAGTGTCACATAAATATTCGTCTCTTAGCTTCTTCACCTATACACACAAATCTAGTATCGGGTGTGGGGTTTTGCCGAATGCACTTCTCATGAAATCCAGCTATTATGGGCATATTTGGGTTGTAACACCCCAGGATTTTCAGCATTCAAACAGGGAACGTTACTAAAAGCCACTTAAAAATTATCACTCGTACTAGAGAACTAAACCACTAGAAATACAAATTTTGACAATTCTCACCACTCTTCCGCTGCGCTACTCTAATAAATAACACTTACATAAGCTGGCACTAAACAAAACAAACAATGCCAAAGTTCTAACGAACTCAAATCCTTCTCAGTAAAAAATTCAGTAACAATCCAACCTTATAGAAACTTTTCACCGCAATCTTCACTAATCAAAAACCATCCACTACACAAAACTAACTTTCTCGAATAGCAGCAAAGAGAAGGCAAATTCAAGTTCAGCTTATCAAGGATACAACATGTAATGCCCCGTATCTTTCAGGTTAGTTAAATCTCGAACTATGAGGTTTCCATTAAATTCTAAATTTATTTTAATTAAATTTTTGTATATCGGATCGCGCGCGATTGGTTTTATCTCAGGTTGGGATGGGTTTATTGTTTTAGTTGATCCTTCTTTTGGGTTTGGTTTGTTTTAAGTTGGGTTGGTTTGGTTTTTTTTTAAAACAAAAAGAAAACCAAGAAAGCCCTAATTTCTTTTCTTCTTCTTCTTCCCTTCCTCCCTTTTTGTTTTCAGCCRCCTGCCCTCTCCCAAATTTCTTCTTCTTCTTTGTCTTCTTCTCCTTCTTCTTCGCCGCCCCCACCACTCTCTTCTCCTTCTTCTCCGGTTGGCATCCCACGGCGGCAGCGAGCCTCTCCRGCGACGACCCACGGCAACGCGGCATCACAACAGCAGTGCGGCTT